GTTTTGCAGTAGAAGTGTGTATTTCCATCTGAAAATGCTTCAAATGTCAAGCTCATCAATCATCCATTAAATCGACTGTGCTAAATTAATTCATTTATCTTCTTTCTCATTTCATTCATGATCACACTGAATAATTCAAGATTTTAAAAATACATTTCATTCATCGTCGGCTGGTTTTCATGAAGGACGTTGTATTACACAATGCTCTAATAATCTACATATCAGATCATTAGCAGCGCTCGTTTGCAACAAAGAAATCACTGATCATTCCGGTCTAATTTTAGACTAATAATTTAGACAATATTTAATATTTAATTTTAATTTAATCTAGCGCTTTGGGTATGAGAACATTAAAATGTATTATTATTTTTAGACTAATTTCTGCCTTTTTTAGTCTGTTATAACCAGGCAGAACCTGATGAATTTGTGACGAATAAAGTGTATAGTTTAATTAATTAACAAAGACCCTTGAAATTGCAAGAAAATTTCACAAAAAATGAAAAACATGTTGACAGTCACTGTGTGGTTGACTGATTATAATTTTTTTTTTAAAGTAAAAGGTTTTTAATATTAATATTCGCACATAAAGAGTTATTTTTGTTGTAAAAAATGAAACATTTCTTCAATCCATATGAGATGAGTAACTCATATTTTAGGGCTCTAACACATTTAAAGACGAAAACGTTTCCGTGATTTATTTATGAATGCCATTTTTATTGAAAGTTTTTTCAAATACTAGCAATACTTTACAGTGTTTGCCGTATAATAAGCACCCGAATGCTGCTGTAAATGAACAGAACTAATGATGTGCAGTAAAACGATGAGATTTTTTTTATTTCTAGCAGGATTTTAACAGTAATAAATCATTATTTATTCATGTTAAAAATTCTGATAATTTTAATTATTAACAGCATAAAGGCCCGTTCATACCAAGGACCATAACTATAACGATAACAGTAAATATTTACTTCTAAAAATCGTTCTAAACATAAATCAATGTGTCCACACCACAAATAAAACAATAACGCCAAAATATCCTTGTAATAACTTTCAGAACTGATTTTTTTCCAGCTAAGGAATGATAAAAATATTGATAGCCAATCAGAATCCATCCTGCTTTAAAGAGCTTGAGCATTTAAAGTGCAGAGCGAGCTTATAATACACATTATATCTTCCATTGGGGCGGCAGTGGCTCAGTGGTTCATGTTGGTTGTCTACAAACCGGAAGGTTGGTGGTTCAATCCTCGGTTCCACCTGACCAAGTGTCGAGGTGTCCATGAGCAAGACACCTAACCCCAGCTGCTCCCGACGAGCTGGATGGCGCCTTGCATGGCTGCCGTCGCCCGTCGGTGTATGAATGAGTGAGTGAATGGGTGAATGTGAGGCAAATGTAAAGCGCTTTGGTGGCCATTGGGTCTGTGAAAGCGCTATATAAATGCAGTCCATTTACCATTTACCATTCCATTGGTGTGGACACCAAGGTTAATAATTAGGAGCTAATTATTATAAGCTAATTATGAGCTTAATAATTATAAGCTAATTAGGAGGAGTTAATAATATAAGTAATATAATTAGGAGCCGAACTACACTCACCTAAAGGATTATTAGGAACACCTGTTAAATTTCTCATTAATGCAATTATCTAATCAACCAATCACATGGCAGTTGCTTCAATGCATTTAGGGGTGTGGTCCTGGTCAAGACAATCTCCTGAACTCCAAACTGAATGTCAGAATGGGAAAGAAAGGTGATTTAAGCAATTTTGAGCGTGGCATGGTTGTTGGTGCCAGACGGGCCGGTCTGAGTATTTCACAATCTGCTCAGTTACTGGGATTTTCACACACAACCATTTCTAGGGTTTACAAAGAATGGTGAGAAAAGGGAAAAACATCCAGTATGCGGCAGTCCTGTGGGCGAAAATGCCTTGTTGATGCTAGAGGTCAGAGGAGAATGGGCCGACTGATTCAAGCTGATAGAAGAGCAACTTTGACTGAAATAACCACTCGTTACAACCGAGGTATGCAGCAAAGCATTTGTGAAGCCACAACACGCACAACCTTGAGGCGGATGGGCTACAACAGCAGAAGACCCCACCGGGTACCACTCATCTCCACTACAAATAGGAAAAAGAGGCTACAATTTGCAAGAGCTCACCAAAATTGGACAGTTGAAGACTGGAAAAATGTTGCCTGGTCTGATGAGTCTCGATTTCTGTTGAGACATTCAGATGTTAGAGTCAGAATTTGGCGTAAACAGAATGAGAACATGGATCCATCATGCCTTGTTACCACTGTGCAGGCTGGTGGTGGTGGTGTAATGGTGTGGGGGATGTTTTCTTGGCACACTTTAGGCCCCTTAGTGCCAATTGGACATTGTTTAAATGCCACAGCCTACCTGAGCATTGTTTCTGACCATGTCCATCCCTTTATGGCCACCATGTACCCATCCTCTGATGGCTACTTCCAGCAGGATAATGCACCATGTCACAAAGCTCGAATCATTTCAAATTGGTTTCTTGAACATGACAATGAGTTCACTGTACTAAAATGGCCCCACAGTCACCAGATCTGAACCCAATAGAGCATCTTTGGGATGTGGTGGAACGGGAGCTTCGTGCCCTGGATGTGCATCCCACAAATCTCCATCAACTGCAAGATGCTATCCTATCAATATGGGCCAACATTTCTAAAGAATGCTTTCAGCACCTTGTTGAATCAATGCCACGTAGAATTAAGGCAGTTCTGAAGGCGAAAGGGGGTCAAACACAGTTTTAGTATGGTGTTCCTAATAATCCTTTAGGGGAGTGTATATATATATATATATATATATATAAGCAGCTATTGTATCAATAAGTGTTTTATTTTTATTATTCCTCCTCCTTCCGCTCGAGTCTATGGTCGTTTATGGGAAAATGATCAAATTTGGCACACTGATAGAGGACCGTCTGAACATTGAACTCAGCAGTTTTGGAGTCTCTGACTCTATTGCTCTAGCGCCACCTACTGTCCAAAGTTGCACTTATATTTAAGTGAACCTTTTGAACCGTAAAGGCTAGAAACGAAATAATTTTTCCCTCTGATTCCTTGGCTCAAGGAATGACAATTCAGACGACAATACAATTGTGGTGAGCAGGACGGCCGAGGGACGTGAGAGAACGTTGCGAGACCGGTGTGCTTCACAGGTGCTGCTCATTAGCAATCGCACCACCGGCCTCGCGACGTTCTCTCACGTCCCTCGGCCGTCCTGCTCACCACAACAATATTTACAATAATTTTCCGTTATGGCAAAATCGTATTAAAATCTTTTTGATGAACCAAACTGTTCTCCAATAACACCCAAACGAATTCAACAGAGTTCATCAGAATGGATGTGAGGCTATATCTCCACAAAGCTTTAGTGTAATGTGACGAATCGTGTTATATGTCATCACAAGCGTGATCTGAGGATGTTTGCAGCGTTTCAGCACAGCGCCACCTACTGGTCAGGAGATGTGAAACTTTTCGCTTATATTTTTCGGTATTTTTGCTTTTTAACTGCTGAACAGTTTGCCTAAAAATCATAAAACTGGTCTCTTTTGCTTTAGTCCTACATACAGAGTCGAATGATACCCAATTTGACTGTGTTGGGCATCGGCCATTGTGAATTTAGTTGTAAAATGCTGTGCCACAATTTATGATGAAATTTCCAAAAATGCTAATAACATTTGATTAATTTTGCCTATTCTAATGAAACTGAATAGATTCTCTGAGTCATAAAGAGAACAGTGATGTAAATTTTGGCATATTTTGTCGAAATCGCTGTCCACTATTTTGAATTTCTTTGAAAACCTACTTTTTCAAACACCTCCTAGACCGTTTGTCCGACTAAATTGGCACAGATCATCTTCAGATCATGCTGGCAAAAAGATATAAAACTTTTTTTGATTGACCAAACAACAAACAAACAAACAAGCAAACTGATTCTAAGGCAATTCTAACTCTGCAAGGCTTTGGTATATTGACACTTTGTATGTATCATTGTCACCTCACACTGACCACAAAAGCAATTTCATAACAGCGGCACCAAAAAATAGCAATTCAATCATATTAGTAGTGATTATATTAGTTTTCTCAGCCATTTTGCCTAAAAAAAATCTAAAAATGTCTTTCATTACTCATTGTTGCAGTTAATCTGAAGCTCCAGCCATGTTTGCATAACTCATCATGTGGTTTTTGTGTGTGTGTTTGGCCCATTAATTGCTGCTTGCAGCTATATTTATCACTATAGTTATCGTCCTTGGTGTGAACGGGCCTTAAATCTGAGCTGAGCGATGTGTGTGTGTGTGTCTTTAGGGAAGTCTGTGGGTATAGTGACGACCACCCGTGTTCAGCACGCCACTCCTGCTGCTTCATACGCTCACAGCGCTAGCAGAACCTGGTACAGCGACTCCGACCTGCCGACTTCTGCCGTCACCGGAGGGTGTGTGGACATCGCCTCACAGATGCTCACAAACACTGATATAGATGTGAGTGTGTGTGTGTGTGAGGGAGAGGAGCGTTCATGAAATGTCATTATTGCTGTTATTGTTTAGATCACATGTAAACAGAGCCTGAAAAACTCCAGAGCAAAACCGATGATTGTGTGCAGGAAGATATTCATCCATCCATCCATATCCATCCATCCTTTTCCGTTCATCCATATCCATCCATCCTTATCCATTCATCTATTCATTCATAATCATCCCTCCATATCCATTCATCGATCCATCCATATCCATCAATCTATCCATTCATCTATCCATCCATATCCATCCATCCTTATCCGTTCATCTATCCATCCATATCCATCCATCCTTATCCATTAATCTATTCATTCATAATCATCCCTCCATATCCATTCATCTACCCATCCATATCCATCAATCTATCCATTCATCTATCCATCCATATCCATCCATCCTTATCCGTTAATCTATCCATCCATATCCATCCATCCTTAACCGTTCATCTATTTATCCATATCCATCAATCCATATCCATTCATCAATCCATCCATATTAATCCATCCATATCCAATTCATCTATCCATCCCTATTCATTCATCCATATTCATCAATCCATATCCATTCATCTATCCATCCATATTCATCCATCATATTCATTCATCTATCCATCCATATTCATCCATCCATATTCATTTATCTATCTATCTATCCATATTCATCCATCATCCATACATCTATCTATCCATATTCATCCATATTCATCCATCCATCCATATCCATCCATCCATCCATATTCATCTATCTATCCATATCCATCCATCATCCATATACATCTATCTATCCATATTTATTCATCCATCCATATCTATTCATTCATCCATTCATCCATATCCATCCATCCATCCATATTTGTTGTAATTGATCAGATCACATGAAACCGGAGCCTGTATCATAAACTCCAGAGTAAACCGATGAGTGTGTGCAGGTGATCATCGGAGGAGGTCGGAAGTACATGACGCCTAAAGGGTTTCCCGACCCGGAGTATCCCGCAGACCTGAGCGCACAGGGACAGAGAAAAGACAACAGAAGCCTCATCGATGAGTGGCTGAGCATGAAGGAGGGAAAGGTAAAGAGAGAGAGAGGAGCAGAGGAGCGTTCACAACACATTTGACTTCATTTTGTGAAATATCTTCAGGAGAAACATGACATTTAGCAAGTGAGAAACACAGAAGGTAGGACTTGACTGGATGGATTTTAGAAGTGCAATGCGCAATATGGGGGAATAAGTCCCGCCTTCTAAATAAAAGAGCCAATCGCCAATTGTTAAAGTCATCACATGTTCTAAAACACGCGCTAATGACTGCAAATGCGCTGGTCCAGCCAGAAAAGGACAGTTTTTTGGCATGATTTGAGCATTTAGAAACAATATTTATGAGTTATTGTCAGACAACAGTCAAACTTGGTAAACAGCTTTGGAGAATGTGATGTTTCCCCATTCAGAGAGAGAGAGGCGTCACTTGCATGACTGAATTAGCTGTGCGAGTGGCGTTTCAAAGATGGCCGCCGACTGAAATGACTGCCTCTAATGGGACTTTGCCTTGGCGTGTTTGTGCAGGTTGCGAGATACGTGTGGAATAAAAGAGACTTTGACGCCGTGGATCCTGAAAAGACCGATTATCTGATGGGTACGAGTCCTTCATTCAGACCACAGACACATGATCCCGAAGGGTTTGAGTTTCTGAACCCGAGCAACTGAGATTATGAGCTTTATACCAGTCTAATTGTAGTATTATTTATACGCTATTATAGATACTAATTTTTTTAATTATCTTGAATTATATTTTACCCATTTGTATTATTTGATTTCAGCTTTATTTCAATTAAATTAACCCTAACTATAAAGTTTTTTAATAGTTTTAGTTATAATTAACAGTAATAATCCTGCTTCTTGTTGCCATGAGTTTCAAGGTCTTCAGATCCATGAAAAATGTGAATGAGAAATAGTAAATGTCGCCCTCTCTGTCTCTCTAGCCCTCTTTGAGCCTGGTGATCTGAGGTTTGATGTGGAGAGAGACCCCAGCATGGATCCCTCCATCTCAGAGACCACAGAGAAAGCCATTCAGATCCTGAAGAAAAATCCCAAAGGATTCTTCCTGCTGGTAGAAGGTCATCAACTGACAAACACCCAATCCATCAAACGATAACCAATCAATGAAACCAAAAACAAACCAATCATCCATCCGTCCATATTCATTCATCAATCAATAATCATCCATCCATCCATATTTATACATTCATACATCCATATTTATACATCCATCATGCATATTTATACATCCAACCATATTCATACATCCATCTATCCATATTCATACATTCATCCTTCCATCCATATTCATACATCCATATTTATCCATCCATCCTTCCATATCCATCCATCCATATTCATACATCCAATCATATTCATACATCCATCTATCCATATTCATCCATCCTTCCATATCCATCCATATTTATCTATCCATTTCCATCCATCCATATTCATTTATCCGACCATATTCATATATCCATCCATCCATATTCATCCATCAATCAATAATCATCCATCCATATTCATCCATTCATCCATCCATATTTATACATCCACCCATCCATATTCATCTATCCATCCATATTAATCTATCCATCCATATTCATCCATCCGACCATATTCATCCATCCATCCATATTCATATATCCATCCATCCATATTCATCCATCCATATTCATCATCCATCCATATTCATCCATCCATATTCATACCTTCATCCATCCATATTCATACCTTCATCCATCCATATTTATACATCCACCCATCCATATTTATCCATCCATCCATATTCATACCTTCATCCATCCATATTTATACATCCACCCATCCATATTTATCCATCCATCCATCCTTCCAAATCCATCCATGCATATTCATCCATCCAACCATATTCATACGTCCATCTATCCATATTCATCCATCCATCCATATTCATACATCCATATTTATCCATCAATCCTTCCACATCCATCCATGCATATTCATCCATCCATCCATCCATCCATCCATCAATCCATATCCATCCATTCATATTCATCCATCCACCCATCCATATTTATCCATCCATCCTTCTACATCCATCCATCCATATTCATCCATCCATCCAAACATATTCATACATCCATCTATCCATAAACATCCATTCATCCATCCATCCATCCATATTCATACATTCATCCATTCATCCATCCATATTCATACATCCATATTTATCCATCCATCCATCCTTCCACATCCATCCATGCATATTCATCCCTCCATCTATCCATATTCATTCATCCATCAATCAATCCATCCATTCATTCATATTCATCCATCCACCCATCCATATTTAATCATCCATCCTTCCACATCCATCCATGTATATTCATTCATCCATCCATATCCATCCTTATACATCCATCCAAGTAAAATAATCTGAACGGATTTTGATCAAATCTTAAAAATGGGGTGTTAGGAAGCTTTTTGAACGATTGAGCCCAGTTGTAATACCTGTAATTTGGCATTGATCAATCAGGTTTGGTCTTCGTGTGGTTCCACAGGTGGCCGTATTGATCAGGGACACCACGACAGTCGCGCCGCCATGGCTCTGCATGAGGCGGTGGCTCTCGATGAGGCTGTAGCTCGCGGACTGGAGCTGACCAATGAGGAGGAGACTTTAACAGTCGTCACGGCTGACCACTCCCACGCGTTCACCTTTAACGGCTACCCGTTCAGAGGGAACAGCATTCTGGGTATGTTTCTGTTCGTGTGCGCATCTGAGGCCATGAAAACGCATCTTTTCTCTCCGTTTTGTCCTTCCATCCACACTGAGACGGCGTTTTTATTAATGAAAACTAACCTTTTTGTAACCGCTCTCCAAAGTGGATAAATTTGAAACTTGTGTTGTAGTGTGACTGTCAAAACGGAGGTATTTAAAAACAATGACCTAAGTTTAGTCATGTGACACGTATTTTACCAATAGATATTCATGTTTATAGTGGTATTGTGCCTGTTATGTGCTGTTCACTTTCACACTGTTGCTAAAATGTTACTTCACACACTCTTCACATCACAGTCCTGCAAAGATGACAGAATTCACTCACATCTGCTGTCCGGCGGCGAAACATGAGAGACGTTTCGTTTTAGACCAAACGTGTAATAGTGAGTGTGTGCGATCTGGACACATCCGTGAATGCTGAGATATTCTGCTAAATAAAAGATCCTGTCAGAAGAATTGCACGATAACTTTATTATTCATTGTTCCGTCTGTATCATCTCCGGTTTCACGCATGCGCAGTAAAGGTGAATTTAGTGTTTTCAGGCGATTTCCAAACGTTTCTCATCCACACTGAAACGCTAGTGTGGACGGAGAGCGCTTTTAAACGAAAACGCCGGTTTCAAATGTACCCGGATTATTTAGACGTAGCCTCAGATTGATCGTATTTATGGGCGTTGTGGCACAAAAATTGTGTTACGGGTCTCCTAATGGTTCCAATAATCCTCACTCGTCAATCATCTGTTGTTTCTCAGGTAAATCTCCAATCTTTGCCTCAGACTTTTTACCCTACACGACTCTAATGTACGGAAACGGACCAGGACACAAAATCGTTGACAACAAGCGTCCAGACCTCCGCGGCGTCGACACCGGTAAGAAAATCAGCACAAACAAGTATTCATTACTTCAATGAGCTCATTGTTTCTGCCTTAAATTGTTAAATCAATACTTTTTCGCTAACTGTGATTTTGTACATGTACATTTCTGAAACACATAACTTAAACAGTTTCCTCTGATAACAGACTCTAAATTGTAATGTGGACTCATGCTTTGTCTGTAAAGCTGCTTTGAAATGATGTGTATTGTGAAAAACGCTATACAAATAAATGTGAATTGACCTTAGCTCTCTGAAAACACTGATCTTGTTGTGAGTATTTATTCTGGTTCTCTGTCTCAGCCGATAAGGATTACGTTCAGCAGTCGGCCGTCCCGCTGGAGACTGAGACCCACGGCGGGGAAGATGTGGCGCTGTTGGCCCGCGGCCCCATGGCTCATCTCTTCCAGGGCGTTTATGAGCAGAACTACATCGCTCACGCCATGGCTTACGCGGCCTGCGTCGGGGCCAATCAGCAACACTGCGCTGCGACCGCCGAGCCTGATGGGATTCCCTACACATCCACCGACCCGGGAAGCTCCGCCCCCGACACGCCCCTCTGCGCCATGACGACGGTGATCCTGAGCGTGTTAATGAGTGTGTTACTGCACTGAGAGAGACACAGCAGCAGATATTCACCTAACAATCATAATTAGAGAATGTGAAATAAACCCGTAAGGCAAAACACTACATGGAAAAACCTATTTTTCTTATGCACTGGTGAGTTTTGAGCTTTATTTTGCTTCCATACCTTGTGAGACTAGTGGAAATAAAACATTCAAAACACTCTTTAAAGACCCACTGAAGTGCCTTGGAACAGCAGCTTTGTTTGATGTGTTGACCAAGCTAAGGCGGGACATATTGATACTAAAAGCTAAAAAACGTACATTTTGATGTTAGGTGGCCAAGTGTTTATTTTATTACTTTATCTGCTTGCGTCTGTAAAGCCTTTTCACCAGGGGCGTAGCCAGTATTGGGCCAGGGCGGCACTGGCCCGCCCACATTACTCACTGGCCCGCCCAGGCAAGTTTGATAAAAATACATTTTTAGTTTATTTTTATTCAAATGTACCGTATTTAAGAAAATATATTAATATATACCTGATTTATTGTTGACTGCTGTGTGTGTTTAATTCGTTTTCCGAATAAAATGGAACTGTCGAATCAAGTTGTAGAAAGCCTCTCTCCGGAACGTTATTGGTTGCTATGGTTGCTGGGGGTTCCGACAGGAAAACTCTCAGCGGCGTCGGCGCCACAATAATGGCTACACAACTTTCTTTAATGTGCTATTTGAAAAAAGCAAGAGTTGAGGAAGAAGACACGCCACTGCCTTCATCTTCCGAGTCCACCCAGCCCAGTTCTTCCGACTCATTACCCCAGGAGAAGGCTAGTCAGGTGCTGGTGGCGGCTGCTTCTTGCTCCCTCTCTCCCGATCAGCCTGACGTGGGTTTACCCGCCGATCTAACTGCGATATTATTATTTTAGCTTACTTTATTTTCGGGTGAACTGTCTTTGCACTGCTGACTAGCCTGAATAAAATAGACAGGTTATTGTCTACACTGGTTTGTCCAGCCTTTATTAAGCTCTGTTGGTTGAACATGATGATTTGCCGAATATAAAGGTGTAACTGTTTTTGCAGTTTGTCTATTAATTTTTCTACTCTCTAAGGTTAATTATTACTGAAGTCATTTTTTTCTATGAAAAACTATAGGCCCACTCACATTTTCACTGGCCCACCCAAAATACAATTTCTGCCTACGCCACTGCTTTTCACTCAGTAGAAAAGATTATCAGGAGTTTCGTTCAGTGCTGACTTTAAATTTAATAAATAAAATATTGTATTTAATCATTAACGATATTAAAAATCCATCCTAGCTAACAGGGAAAGTTATTCGAACGTTCTGGCAAAGTTACGAAGAAACGTTCTTCAAGTAACGTTTATAGAATAATCGTTCAAAGTTCTTCGGTCTTTAATAATGCTCTCAAAACATTAGAACTAATACATCATTAATATTGGACATACATTTTTTCAAATGTTACATTTTTCAGAACGGAAGTAACATTCACATAATGTTTGCAAAATTCTAAAATGGAATGTTGCCTTAACGTTCACATAACCGAGGGAAAACGTTAACATCAAAAACGGACATTTTGAATGTTCAAAAAATATTCTTAGAAACATGTTTTTGTTAGTTGGGATGTATGTATTATTAAAAGTTATGTATTCCTGAATTAAACAGAATTTTGAGTGAGAGATAAATAGGATGGGACTTGATTGATCCTATATAGATTAATATTATTTCTCCACATCTACGTTTGTTGGCTATGCACTGATGAATCATTAAATTAATTGTGAAATTAATCAGAGGACATTTTATTGATTTATGTTGAATCGTAACTTTAAACTGAATCTGTGTGTTATTGATGAAAACATACTGACGTCATCTCAGGTAGAGTCTCTCTGATCGGTGTGGATAATTAAGATTTGATGTCATTATCACACACACACGCTTATAAATAATAAATCACAGCCAAAGACTGGTTATTTTTAGCAGACCGTGAGTCATTAATGTAACAGTTAGAACATCTGCTACTTCTCATCAAACCTGAGACTGAGTGTGTCTGTCTTGGTTAAGCGTGTTACGGTGCGTTTGCACGCATTTGTTACAGAGAAACAACAGCAGATGAAGCGCTGCTTTCCAGAAGCACACACACACACACACACGTCCTCGTGGTTTTCCTGAGGCAGAAACCCTCTCTCTGTTCCCAGCTAACAAATATGTTCTACAACATTTGCAATGTTTCTAAAACGTTCAAATGTTTTATTGTGATTCGAGCGTTGTTTAAAATGTTCATCTGCTAGCAGGGGCGTCACTAGGATTTTCATTTTAGGGGGGCTAAGCCCCCAATATGATTTAAAAAAATATATAAAAAAGGTAACACTTTAGTTTAGGATCTAAAGATCACTATTAACCATTTTCATTACGATGCAAAGGCACGGTTTTATGGTCCCAAATGTGAGGTAGGGCAAATAGGGGGGTTCGGGGTCTCCCCGCGAAAATTTTGATTTCTCTGATCTACATATGTGGATTTTAAGATGTTCTGAAGGCCAAAAAACTTGGATAGTGGGCAGCTGATTATTTTTCTCTCCTCATCAGCATCACACTCTTTTTCTCTTTGTTTTTATCTTGCCCAGCTGAGCTTTGACTGATATAGGCTTTATATTTTTGTCTGTCAGTGAAGAAAGTAAACATAGGGTCAACTTATAGGTTGATTTTGCCTATGAATCATTTTCTCAGACACGTTTATTTACTGAAAGCTACTAAAGGTAATTAAGTTTATTAAATGCATTCACAATATGTAGGCTACACATTTATTATTGATCTAATGCCTAATACAGGGCCGTAGACAGGGCTTTATAATCACAGAGGTCCTAAATTTGAGGTTGGTAGGGGGTTCAAATTTTTTATTTCTCTGATATGTGCATTTCAAGACGTTTGAAGACCAAAAAAAAGGATAAGAAATAGCTTTAAAACCATGTCAGTGGGCAGATTATTTGTCAATACCTGCTCTCTTCTCATCTCCATCACTCTTTCTTTTTTTCTCAGTCTCTTCATCCCTTTCTCTTCCCCTCCTAAAGCTGAGCTTTTTTAATTTACTAAAGGCTACAATTTGTATTATATTCTCAATATGTACACATTCATTATTAATCTTGTGCCTAACATGATGAAAACGGCTTTGTTAATGTTTCTGTAAACTAATTATTACATAACATGAGTCACGTTACATAGGCCTATTTTCAGTTCAAAATGGCGAAATTAGACAAAACTATATTACCATAGTTTGCCTGATTATTTTTTGTCATTCGTTTAACATTTATGACCTAAAAAAGTAAAATATGAAATGTTAAGTTTAGCTACTTACATCTCAGCAGCGTCTGTGAACATAAAGCCTGCCTACTTTGATTTGATTGGTCATCTCAAATATTCTGACATTGACGAGCAGTGACAGACCAATGAGGCTCAGATGAACACACACATGAACACACACACACCAGAGATGCTCACAAGTCTCTGAGCTAGAGTCCAAGTCAAGTCTCAAGTCTCTGAGCTAGAGTCCAAGTCAAGTCTCAAGTCTCTGAGCTAGAGTCCAAGTCAAGTCTCAAGTCTCTTGTGGTTATAAGTGTTGCATCACGTACAGCGACCCATCCAGGTTGCTTAGAACACTGCATAGCTTTATATAAGGAATTCAAAGCATGTAATATGTTAGGTTACACTTTATTTCGATAGTCCACTTTAGACATTCAACTAACCATGTACATTTTCAACTACATGTCAACTAACTCTCATTAGAGTATTCGTAGACTGTAGTAGACTGTCAGGTTATGATGTGGGTTCGGATTTGGAGAACAAGTTGACTTGTAGTTGCCAAGTTACTTATAGTCAGTAGAATATCTGTTGGGGAACCAACAAAATTAGAAATTATAATATATAATTGGCAGATATTAAGCCTACTAATACTCTAATGAGATTTAGTTGACATGCAGCTGGAAAGTTACTTATAGTTAGTAGAATGTATAAAGTGGACTATCAAAATAAAGTGGTACGGTATGTTATTATGACTCCTTTATCTATTAGCATACAGTATCAGCTTTGATTTTGGTATATAATCAGTAAACAGGCTATTGCAACATGACAAAAACACCAAGAATGCTTTACCTTTAGTTAATTTCTTTATTTTGCCTTGTAGCTTGAACATACCAAGACATAAGACCAAATATAGAAAATGATATAACTCACAATACTAAAATTGACACACTCCTATTTAGTGCAAAACATCAGTGTAGCTAAATGCAAATAAACTATTGCGTCCAAATGAAATTAACACTACAGTGCACTTCCAAAACATTCAAATGCTCAAAATCTTTAGTGTAAATGTGAAGCAACTGATCAACTTATGGCATGTAACTTAAGAACAAAATGTTTAGAAATAAAATCCAAAGGGTGAGATCAGACTGGTTAACCTTCTCTTCTCTTAACACACTAGGTATGGGCCACAAAACATTTCTAGCTTCTTCTGGCTGCACTGCCTATGCAACTAATCATAGCTTATATACTGTAAGTCAACACATCCCAGACTCTCAAACCAGTGTAACGTTATAACTAAATGAAACTGTAACGTTACATAAACAACAATAATCCTGTAACCTGTTTGTAGACAACGGGCAGCCAGCGGCACGTAAATGATTAACGTTACGTTAATCGACCACCACAAGTTTGGCAATTAAACAAACGCTCATTCATATTTCATAAGGAAGACAATCGGAGTTAACCTCCCGTAACGTTAGGTAGCTAAAGCAATAAGCAAGCTAACGGTAGATGGTCAATGCTGAGCTAAACATGTTTACTCACCTATCAAGGTGCGTTTTCAGATGCCTGATAAAATTAGATGTAGTTGAGCCAGAATCTTTTATCGTGATACTGCATATTTTGCATTGAGCGCTTCTTTTGAGCGCGTCTTGTTTGAAGTTTTTGAACCCAAAGCTAACGATGAATGGCACAGCGACGGCCAGTGCAGTCGAACTTTTTGTTTGTTTTCCTCTCATGTGCGGTCGCGCGCGCGCTGCCAGCAATAGGCCACGTAGTACGTGGTTACGTAGGCAGGCTGTAACGGAGGGAGGGGGATAACAGCGAGCTCATCAGACGTTTCCTAAAAATAAACATTGTTCACGAGTCCCGCAGCTCGAGTCCGAGTCGAGTCTGAAGTCTTTCGAGGACGAGTCTCAAGTCGAGTCTG